CGACTGCGCTTCTCATCTCGGCGGCTCTGATCCTTCCGCTTGTCATCTCGGCTTCGTGCGGTCACGAGTCGGTCGCGTTGCTTCTTACGCTTCTCGCCGAGGATCCGACGATTGATTATCTGTTCCACCTTACTGATGTCTTCCAACTGCAAGGGGTACATTAAATCCATCACATCGTCATCACCACAATGCAGCAAGAAGTGTTCGACATGGTCAGCTGCGTCGGCGCCACCCTTCTCGTACTGGATCTTGGGCTGTCCGAGCGTACCCGTTGAGTCGGATCAGGAAGTCGCAGATCGGTTCGTTGACTTTACGTCTCGCCGAGTAGTAACGAGTGCGGGCGGATTGGTTCGAACTGTGAGCAGTAATAATCCAGGAACCGCCTCGCTGAGTAGTTTCAACGTCGCTGAGTCTTCTTCGGCAGCTGCCTGTACCAACTTCTTCGCCGCGCGTCCCAATGCATAGCGAGAAAGGGTTCGCACCAGGCACGTTGGAGCATCCTGGTGCTCTTCATCTCGTAGATGAAACGCTTGAGCCACTGGAGCGACGCGTCAGAACGGTAGCGCTTTCCTTCGAACTCGGCGATTTGGTCGAGTGAGGCGTGGGTTCGGACGTCTAGGTACTGCGTCGAGTCTTCTTCAGCCGCGTCCAAGCTCAAGTTTCGGATGTAGTCCTTCACGGTTTCTTCACGGTTTCTTCATGGTTTCCTCTCACGTCGAAGACGTCGTCGTCTTCTTCATCCTCCTCGTAAGCCTCAGCCTCGTCTGCAGCGTCATACAATTCACGGTAACGACCAACATTCCGCTGTCCACGACTCGGCGCTCGCCGAGTCGGGTTTAGCTTCATTGGAGTCAGCATGTGGGAGTCTTCGAAGTGCGGAGTCCCTTGCGTAGCGCGGAACACTTCACGTCTCTTCGTCTCCGGGGTCTTCGGCAAAGGAATTTTGCTTGGGTCTTCGCCGAGTGGTTTGAACTCGGCTACTCGGCTGTACACCTTCTTCGTTCCACCAGGGGCCTTCTCCAATCCAAACGCCACTCTCAATTTCTTCTTCCATTGCCAGAGCTCAGCTCCGCCACGGGTCAGACTCCAGTCGGACAGGATGAGGCTGTTTGGTCGGCTGTTGCACCGATAGCCCATCGCCTTCAGCAGCAACACAGTTTCTTCCACCAACTGATTGATGTTGGCTGCACGCACCGGTTGAGTTAGCTCGGGA